ATTTTAAGTATTTTACAGAGTTTAAGCCAAATCTCATTTATTCAAGTAGGCTTAAAAATTAGTCTTAAATATAGGCAACAGAAAGCAAAATGCAATGGTGGCATTATTTTTATTTCCATTCAGAGAGACTCTTCTGATTCCCAAGTGTAAGTGTTGTTTATTTTGACGATCACTGAACTGTTTAAATAAAGATAAGACACATGTAGAATATTTTGAACTGCAGTAACTGAAACCAACAATTTTATAAAACACCCTCTGAGCACTGAAAAAAATGTGAAGTTGAAAAGAATTAAAAAGAAAAAAGATTATAAAGATAGCCATAGCACAGGCCATGCTTGACTCCAGCTCACTTGGCTAAGAGAGGCAGGAATGGCAGGCAGGGGGCTCGAATGATCTTACAATGAAATGAGTGCACTCTAAGACTACTTTCAGTTTTGTCAATCTGGCTGTCAATCTCTGATTCTTAATTAATTTATTTATATTAACTTTTTCACTGTATATATGCATTACCCATGGTAGTGGATTATGTAAGTCTGGTCATTTTTTAAGACTTCATGAGATTTTTTTTTTTTTTTAAACTGAAAACTAACTCTGAGAGGAAGAAATTTTTACTTTGGTTCATGGTTTTAGAAGCTTTAGTCCATGGTTTTTTGGCTCCAATGCTTTTTGGGGAAGGAACATGCTCATCTTTAAAAGGCAAAAAGCAGAGAGAGGAAAAAGTGGCCATAGAGTCCTAGAATTCCCCCTTTGGGATGTTTTCCCAGAGACTCAATTTCCATCCTCTGGGTCCTATATCCTAATTACACCACTACTTCCAAGAGTGCCAAAGGCTAGTGACCAAGCCTGTAACACATAGGCCCTTATGGGCTGTTTCAGCTTCACAGTGTAACACCTTTATGCTGTAAAACTGTTAAATCCCTGAGGAAGGAGATAGAGGAAGAGTCTAGATTTCTCATGTCCATGGCTTGGCAGAATTAACACTGTGTAAACAATCATTTAACCCAAAGCAATTTACAGATTTGATGTAGTTTCAACCCAAATCCCCTCCATTCTCCACAGAACTAGAGAAGGAAAAACATGTTGAAATTCATATGGAATTACAAAAGATGCTGGAGCCAAAGCAATCCCTAGGAAAAAGGAGATTATGGAGGAATTGCCATCCCAGATATCTCATACAGTAAAAACAGTATGCGATAGGCACAAAATCAGACATAGACCAATGGAACAACAACCACCAGAACATTCAATGTGGCTATATATAGCTACAGCTAACTGATATTTGATCAAGATACCAAAATTGTGCATTGAGAAAAGACAGTATCATCAACAAACAGTGCTGGGAAAACTAGTTTCTATCACCCTACACAAAAGTCAGCTCTAAAGAGATCAAAGACCTCATTGTTAAATGCCAAACTTCCAGGAGGAACCATAGATAGTACTTACAAGATGCAGGTGCAAGAAAAGGCCTTCTGGGAAGGACTCCATTATCTCAGGAATTAAGGTCAATTGTTGACAATTGGCCCCTCATAAAAGTACAAAGATTCCTTTTAATCAACATTTCTCTACACCCCATCGATCTTGCTTTTTTTTTTTTTTCTTTTCTTTTTTTCCTCTGTGTACCCCTGGCTCTCCTAGAACTCATACTGTAGACAAGGCTGGCCTGCCTCTTCCTCCAGAGTGCTGTGATTAATAGCATTTGCCACCACCAACTGGCAGCCCATCATTCTATTCCAGACTGGAGCCAGGTCTAGTGTCCTTATCTAGATGCACTGACATTCCTTGCTCAGTGTCTGTGTCTATAGAATGAGACATGAAGCCAAATAAGATAAAATGAAAAAAATCTAGAGCAGTGGTCCTCAACCCTCCTAATGCTGCAACCCTTTAATACGGTTCCTCATGTTGTGGTGACCCCCCAAGCATAACATTATTTCCATTGCTACTTCATAAGTGTAGTTTTGCTCCTGTTATGAATCATAATGTAAACATCCGTGTTTTCTGATGGTCTTAGAAGACCCTGTGAAAAAGGTCATTTGACTCCCTCGCGACACACAGGTTGAGAGAAACATTAGTCTAGTTGTGCTGGCTGATGGGTGTGAGGATAGTTTTTTGCTCAGCAGGTCCATTTAAGCCTTTAATTTTTTAAAATTGCTCAGGGGACTTATTTCCTTGACATTCTTTTAAGAAGAGACTGCTGCTTGTGGTCACGTGAAATAAAGGCATTATGTTCTCAAGCAGAAAACCTGCCTGCTCTGAGAGACACAAGCTGCACTTATAAGGGAAGAATCACAAGGGAGGCATGTACCTGGCCATGTTCAAAGGGATTTCAGGAAGCTTCTGTTTCCCAGATGGTGGTTCCAGAGCCTTGATGGTCAGAAATGTAGACAGCTGGAATCTGGGGTATGGGAAATGCTTCCTGGGAGCAGCTCACTGCGTTTCTTTTACTGTGCTGCCTGGGCTCTGTTCCTCACACAGCACTCTCATAGTGTGCAGGGTTTCCCACCTCCCTTTCTTTGGCGCTAGGACCCCCCCTCCCCCCAGAAGACCTTGTGATCAGTCGGTTACCACAATTCATCCTGGAGTAGACAGAGGAAAAGCCAGATGAGGGAGGAGCTCTGAGTAGAGGAAGCAGAAATGCATGCTCAACTCATCCAGCAGGTGGCAGTGAGAGCACATGGCTAGGCTAAGAGAGGCGCCCAAACCAGAGGACCAGCTCTGGGAGCTGTTTTTGCTGCAAGGCGGATTCCTGGACCTGGTTGGTACCTGCCATTGCTCAAGCCCATAGCACATCTTGTAAGAGTTTTTCCATTTGATAATATATAGGAACATCACTTGCTTCCCTTCTACCCAGTGGCTTATTTTGAAAGGCTGAGCATGTTTTAACAAATCAGCAACCCTTCAAATATGAAGGGAAATAAAATGTTTTGCAGCCTGGTGATGGCACGTGTTTGCCTTAAGCACTCCAGCGATAGGACGACCAAATAAGGACAAGGCTGTAGTTTTGATCTCTGTGGAGGTCACTTACTTAGTTCTGTTGTGTGGTCAAAGACCTTGCTGCCAATGAGTTTAACCATCTGGAAATGCATGCTTTGTATGTAGGAGGTCGTCTGCATTGCATGGTTAAAGAATTTCACTAAGGCTAGGGAAGAAGTTCAGCTCTAGTGTCATTCAGTTGGGTTAAAATCCCCAGTTTTGAAGGCGATGGACAGTGTACATGTAAGTAGCTGAATGTAATGTTGAGACCCATTGTCTGTTCCTGTGATAATTCATTTATCCACAGGGAGAATAGGTTTTGCCATTTGAAAACACAGTCAATTCTCTGCTTCAGTGGACCAGCTCTATAGACTTTATCTTCTCTCCCCTTACTGGTCTCAGAGAAGATCAGAAATGGAGAGAAATCTGGGAAAAAAAAGAGCAGATTGGGTCTACATCCATCTCACATCTTACCCTTTTAGACCCACCCATAATTTTGGATGAGGTATCCTTCTCCTTATCGTAAGTATGCAGGACAAATGACTTCCTAAAGAGAAGAACACCAATGTCCTGTGACCTTGCATTGATCCATTGATCATACACGACAACACGAGAGCCCACCTCTCTGCCTCCTCCTCCTTCTCCTCTTCCTTCTCTTCTTCTGTTTCATTTTGCACTGCCCCAGAATGCCCTGTCTCATGGTGCTCCACCCTAGTGGCTGTGTCAGCCACCCATTCAATTGCAAGCCAGATTCCCAAGATCTATGCTTGGCATCTTCTCTTGACTTCTTGTCTCACCACTAAATCTTGACAATGTTATTTCCTTTAAATCTAACATTCCCTCATCTGTACCATATCCTCTCTTTTCTGTGTATGGCAGAACCAAGAAAAATCTGGTTTCAGCCTTCGATCTCTTATATATATCCCACACCCCACTCCTCCTCCCAGGTTGCTTATTCCTCTCTCTCTCTTTCTCTCTTTCTCTCTCTCTTTTTTGGTTGGGAGACTTGTGATGACTGCTTCTATTTCATTGGAGGTTATAGGTCTGTTTAAATTACTTATCTGTTCTTGATTTAATTTTGGTAAGTGATATCTATCCAGAAAATCGTTCACTTCCTTTAAATATTCTAATTTTGTGGAGTACAGGTTTTCAAAGTATGACCTCAATATTCTCTGGATTTCCTCAGTGTCTGTTTTTATGTACCCGTTTTCATTTCTGATCTTGTTAATTTTCATGCTCTCTCTCTGCCTTTTGGTTAGTGAGGGGACTTTTTTTTTTTTTTTTTTTTTTTTCCACTCTATTTGGTCTTCTGTAAGCTTCTTGTACTTTCATTGGCACGTCTTTCTTCAGGTTGGGAAAGTTTTCTTCTATGATTTTGTTGAATATGTTTTCTATATTTTGAGTTGGGTTCATCACCTTCTTCTATACCTAAATACAAAGATGCAACAGTTTCAGTCGTTTTCTTCCAGATGTAGTGATCATCTCATAGTAAACATGGAACTGAGATCTAGTCTCAGGGTAGACATTTGCAGGGCGCTTGGTAGCTTGGGTGGATTGCTCTTTCTTCTGTATTTATAACTTGTGCATTTTAAAGATTGACTTCAAAGCACTCAGTCATGCAGACACTTAAGCAGAGAGGCTCCTTGAAGCGGGGTCTACACTGTACACAAGCGGGCCGTGCTGTGGTTTGCACTCAAGTCCTCAGAGGCAGGTGAGCTCAGGGAAAGGAAGTCAACGGGTGATGCAAATGGCAAATGTATCCAAAGGGAGATTAAAGGGGACACTGGTATTTGGGGGCAAACAACAGCTTGCTATGAAGTAGCTTCACAAACATCTTTTAGATCAATGTTTGGAAAGAAAAAAGAGCTGAATAGTTCCAAACTACTTAAAATGCACATCGTCAGTAACTGCAAAATGTCTTCCCAATCTTCTGAATGTGGGTTCAGAGCTTAATGACCATGGTAGGAAAACTACTGCCATTTTGAACAAAGCCTCTCATCTCCATGGGGGTAGCAAGATGGGCCCCTTCAGACAGGTCAGGGGCTAGGACCTGGCATTACGTTCGGTTTCAGCCAAGCACTCCCGAACCAGGTTTCGGGCATGAATGATGCCTCGTTTTAGTCTTTCCATGGCACTCTTGCTCCCCGCATACATGGGTCTGATCACTTTTCCCAACTCTTCAGTGATGGCCAGCAGCTCTGCATATTTACTCTGAGGCACCTGGCTATTTCCAGTTCCCTGGGTGTAGCCTAGTGATGGTGGCCTGTAGTTACTCAGCAGCTGGCGATATTGGGAGGATGTTGCCATGCTAGTAGAAGGCGAGTGGACACTTCTGGCGTTGAGGGTGAGGGCGGGCATGTGCGCAGTCAAATTCAGCTTGTCGACATCCCCGCGGGCGGTGGGCGCGCCAGGCAGAGCCGGGCCAGGCCAGGAGCTTGACGGTGGCAGTGGCGAGGCTGAGGCACCGGCCAGGCTGCTCCATGTCCCGGCGCCGCCCAACCGAGCGCTCACTGGGCACCTGCGCACTTTTTGTTGTTGCCCGCTTGGGCCGTACAGGCAAATATGGGCTTCCCCTGCCGCTGCCGCAGTATATCACCCATACATCGGGTATGGGGTGCCCTATACCTATTATTCTTAGGTTTGGCCTTTTCATGGTGTTTCATATTTCCTGGATATTTTGTGTTATGCATTTGTTGAACTTAAGATTTTCTTTGGTCGATGAATCTGTTTCTCCTATTGTGTCTTCAACGCCTGAGATTCTTCCATCTGTTCTGTAGGTTATGCTTTCATCTGTAGTTTCTGATCGTTTGTCTACCTTTTCTATTTCCAGCATTTCCTCAGACTTTTTTAAATTGTCTCTCATTCAGCTCTCTTATTGTTTCTTGCAATTTTTGGTTTGTCTTTTTCTCCATTTCTTGAATTTTTTGTTTGATTTTTCTTTCCTTAAGGGATTTTCTCATTACCTCTTTGAGGGTCTCTGTCGTCATCATAAAGTTGTTTTTAGGGTTGTTCTCTTCTGCTTCTTCTGTTTTGGGATGTTCAGGTCTTGCCCTAGTGTAGTCCCTAGTTTTTGGTGGCATCATATTGATCTTTCTGTTGTTGACTGTGTTCTTATACTGTTGTCTTCCCATCCCTTCTCCCACTGTGTACCGGTGGGGGTCTCTCCCTCTCCTGGTGGGTACAAGTTCTCTTACGGTGGGTGCGAGCAGGTCCAATATTCTGATGGCTCTCCTGTTCCAGTGGGATTCCTCCTGTGGTCGGAGGTGAGACAAAGATGCTGGCAGACTCTGGATGGACAGATCTGCCAGGATGGGCTATGCTGACTGCAGTCCCCAGTCCTCAGGAGGCTCTGAGCAGGGCACCGGGAAGAGGGCCAGAGACAGACCTATGCTTACCCTCTCCTGTGGATGGGAATGGGACTAGGATGCAGTTAGACTCAGGATGGACTCCCTTGTGGTATGGAGTCCCCAGTCCCCAGGAGGCTCTGAGAAGGGGTATTTTCTGCTATTAGAGAAAGAAACTGGTGTTCTTCAGTGAGCTTGCTATTCTAAGAGAAATGGACTAGAACACATTGCAAAAGTGAGATTTGAATTATCACATCTGTGGTTCTGAAATTCATGTCCATCCCATCTGTATTAATTAATTTTCTGTTGATGTGATAAAACATCATGACTGTGAGAATCTTATGGAAGAAAGAGTTTATATGGGTTTGTGGTTGCAGAGGGATAGGGATTGGATGATGGCATGGCACTGAGTAACAAACATGGTAGCAGAGACAAGAAGCTGTGAGCACATTATCTTCAAATGCAAGCAAGAAGCAAGAACACACAGAAAATGGGGACAGACTATAAACATCTACCCCAAGTGATGTACTTCCCTTCTGCCAAAGGTTCTAGTGGCATCTTGCCTTGCCAGTGAACTTTTAGTGGTGGCTACACCTTTTGGGCGTGGTTTCAGGTGCAGATGTGACCCATTATAAGGTAGAGGAGTGGCTGGCTCACACTCTCTTGGGTTGCAGAGACTGCATCTTCTGGAGTAGGAAGACCACAGCGTTTATTTGCTCTTATCTGTTGAAGTGCCTCCCTAACAAATATCAATCATTTATCTTGGGTCTGGTGCACTCATTTAAACCCTGCCTTCTTACAGCATCCTCCCCCCCCCCAGCTGTGCCAACCAACAATGGGCCAAGTATTCAGATATTTGAGTCTGTAGGGACATTCTTATTCTTAACACCACGATGTCCTGCTAAAGAACTACTTGTTATCAGTAAAGTCTATTAGGAGCAATGCATCTATTTATATGAATATTATTCTCCAACTAGAATGTGAACTATTGAAGGCAGTGACTGTGTTGTTTGTTTCTGCATTTCTCCTGTGTAAAGACCTTGTTAATTAAAACACATTTGCTAGAGAAAGGGATGGTAGATCTATTATGAATCTAAAGTTCACTGTCCACTAGAATGCTATGTCTTTTCCCCTAAGAAAGGGAAGAGATTGTGTCTCTAGCTTCAAAATAGATGCCTTAGTTACTGTGGCTGTAAGGGAATACAGTCAGAGGAGAAAGAGCACTGACGCCATCGAGCTTTCTCTGTATATTCTGCTCTCACTCATATGTAACTGCCCTAAGTCCTCATGCCCTTAGTTTATGGTCCTCCACTCTGAAGCATCTTCAGGTCCTGTAACTAGAGAATCAGAGTGTAGGTCCTTTGAAAGGCTATGGCTTGCATCTACTTAATGGGATCTTAAGAATTATGTACTACACACATCAGTACAGAGGAGCAGGGATTCTGGGAGAAGGGTTGCTTCTTCTGTGGCTAATTAGGATGTGCCACTGAGTAACACCGATAGTTCCTCATAGTGCTAGTGAACAGCAGGTTTTAATTATGGAGCAATAAAAATGGAGAAACAGCAGTAAATTATAGTCAAGTTTCTATGAATTATCTTAGTCTGGTAGTGAAAAATCTGCAAATTGCATAAAACAATTATTTCAAGATAGTCACAGAGTGTTTGTAGAGTTGGGTTTGTGTAGAAGTCATCTACATTTTGTTTTTTTAAATCACCACCTTGCTTGTTCCAGGGGAGTACCATGGTAACTGTGATGGGGATGAATTGAGGGTCTGGATGAGGCTGGAGTGGATTCAGTACATGATGGTGAGACTGTATGTGAGAGATCAACCACAAGACCTGGGGGATGAAAAAGTCTACACAGGTATAGGAAACAAACAAGTGGTTATCAATTGGAGATATTTTCTGGGTTAGGGGTGTGGGATTGTGGCTACTTCCACTTTCAGTGCTGGAACCTCTCAGGCCCAGACCTGCCAGGCCCTGTGAATGCTGCCATAGTCTATAAACTCCTATGTGCACCAGTCCTGCTGTGCTTAGAGGGCCATTTGTCCCCTCTGGATCTTACAATCTTCCCACCTCCTTTGCTGCATGCTTCCCTGAGACCCCAGGGGAGGGATTTTATGGGTCTAGCAGGTCTGAGCCTGAGGGGTTCTAGCACTGAGAGGGGAAGTGGCCACAAGCCCACACTCCTAACCTAGAAGCTATTTTCAACTGATATTACTATCAAATGAAAATTTGGTTTTCTTCAAGAGAGTCTCACTGGGTATAAACAACTACCCTCAAAGCCAGGCGCCATGCCCAGCAGTAGATGACCAACACAAAATGAACACATTGGCATTTTTGGAGATTCTTTGCCTCATAATGCTTTGTCAGGCCTTTTTGCTTTTGTTTTCCTTACAAGTCCTGTGTGTATATATTACAGTTTCTGATTTTGTGCTCTTATGGTTTCTGTGTATGCATATGGTTGTGTTTATGTTTACATATGTCTTGAGCCTTTTCTTTAGCTCCTCCCCTTCTTCTTTTTGCTGATTTTGTTCTTTTCTGGTTTGTTTTCATTTTATCTAATTTTATTACTATTATCATTATTTTAGATACCTATTTATATCCCTCTGTGTGTGTGTGTGTGTGTGTGTGTGTGTGTGTGTGGGTATGAGAAAGAAACAGAGAGAGAAGTAGAGAGAGAGAGAATGTGGATTTGGGTGGGTGGGGAAGTAGGGATCTAGGAAGAGTTATAGTGGGAGAAAGAATAATCAGAATATCTAGTATTAAAAATGTATTTTTAATAAAAAAATTCATAGAATGCTTTCTTACCTGTAATGGCTTCTGTGCAACACATTAGCTGTTGGTCTAGTTCAACTTGAAGAGTATTTTGTGGGTTTCCCAAATAGCCAATGGCAGACCCTTGAAGCCTATGAGTTAGTTACTGTATCTCTGATGTGGGTCACTGTGGGGCTCTTAAGTGACTTTGCTTCATCCATGCACTTGACCACATAACAAGGAACAGTGGCATTGGTAGATTAGGGACCCATGAGTAGTGACATAAAATGGTGTGGTGTGTCCACCTGCTTGGTGGGGAGGTGGTTATTAATGTCAGGCATTGTCTTTGAAAGGAGTGTGAGCTTGAGATTCACAGTCTGGGATTGTCTGCTATGATTGGCTGGATGCTTCCTTCAGTCTGTGGCTGCATTTGGTGTCTATAGCAGATGAAATAGATTTATATCCAGTTGTTGTCTCATGTTTCTATGGGTCACACATTTGAAGTGTGACTCAACAAATCTATTCCTCTCTTGAGCCTGAAACTGAGGTGTTGGCTGGGAAGGACATTTTATCTGGATGCTCTTGGAAAAATTCATTCCAAACCTATTTCAGTTGTGGTCAAATTTGGTTCCTTTTCATGCTCAACTTCAAACTGAAGATGGTGTTATCTAGTCCTCATTCTTTTGGTCTCTGAAGTACTGTTCTGTAAACAACCAGAGAAAGATCCCTGCTTCTAAGAGCTCCGTGATTAAGTTCTTCTCAATGGGTAGTAGAGGATAATCTCACTATTTTAAGGTCAGTAAGTTCAACTTCTACTATTTATTTATATAACATCAACACAGGAGAAACTCTAGGGGCAGTAGGCCTACCCTACTGCCCTTGGACTCAGTGGCCTGAAAACCACCAGTTTTAGATATAGTTGATATTTACTGAATCTAAGATAATTTTATTTCACTCTAATGTAAGGAGGAGACATTGGTCTGATACTCTGCTTCATTCAACAACAGTGCATTTTCCAAATGTTGGCTTGAAAGTTAAAAATAAACTAAAATAATTTCTTTTGGAAAAGCTGCAAAAATAATATGCAGAAACAGCATGTCCTATTTCTCCTTCCTTATCCTCCACCTACCCTTCCACCTCCTCTCTCACCGTGGTGCTCTGAGAAGTTTCTGAAATCCTTTTCATTAAATTCTGGAGTATAAGGCTAATGGACACCATTAAGTTCAGGGACAATGCTAGGCCATACTTTACTGTGTTTTTTTGCCC